CCCCCCCCCCCCCCCCCCCCCACCCCTTCAATTGCACCCCCAAGTTGATTTTGACTTTGGAGGGGCGTGGGGGGTGCAATTGAAGGGGGTGGGGGGTTTACCGGGGGGGTTAGGGGGGTACGAACCGTCAATTTTACGAACGGGGCACCGGAGCTCCCCCGGGTCATCCCATGACATTGGGAACCAATGTCATGGAAACCAAGGTGATCTTAAATTACTCCTTGTTAAGTTAAGCATGAGGCTAGGTGTCTAAAGTAGTACTGCATACCCACTGCTTCATGATGTTGTGTCCACTGAAGAGGCAAGCAGCCCTTAAACTACTACTCCTCCATGTCACCCTTCTCCTCCCCATCTTCACCTTCACCTTCATCTTCATCTTCGTCTTCGTATACCCTTGGTTCTTTCGTAAACCACTCAGGGAGAAGCCAACTGTAATGCAAACATACTATAGTCACAACAACAAATATATTCTTATAATCTCCATTTACCTGCCCTAAATGCACATACATTGAGCACCCAAAAAAATCATTATCCAAAACATGCATGTAGGTCGGATTTTACCGATAGTATTTGTCGGGGGAGGCCTCCTGCACCTGTACAACTCGCTTGAGTGGGTGAGACATGCCAGCCCTCACGATTTCCAACTCCACAGACTCCCCAACCTTATCCCAGGTTCTCTCGAAAAACTGACATTAAAAGAATTGACACACAAAGACAAAGAAGGTAAGGTGGGACTTGCATTCAAATTGGGTGCGAACGGCAACCTATTCACAACGACAAAATAGCCACGTTCTATGTTTTAAAATGCACCAGTTACGCGGTATGTATTATTGATAATATATTCAGAGTACCTCCAGGATGCTCCTCACTGGACTTCCATCGCATTGTACTATGACATCATTACACTGTAGGCCAGCCAAGTGTGCAGGAGAATCTTCCGAAACCTGGTTTTTACTAAATGGTTAATGAATGAATTGTAACACAAGATCAAACAAAATAAAGACATGCATCTGTTTTCAACGTCATCTGTCCTCTTCCTCTCTTCTTTTTCTTTTCCCCGCTCATGCACGCAATCTATTCCCTCCGTCTCATGATGCCACTCATCTAGCAACAATGACCGGAAGCAGACCCAATCAGGGCACACTAAAGATTTATTAATACGATGCATTGGCATTACCTCTATCACAATCACTCCAGTGGTTATATTTGGAAATTTCAGCAGTAAATCTAGCATGGCTCCATGAAGGTTGAAGACATTGGTCCCTAGCCAAGGACGCCGAACATCCCTGCATTAAATGAAGGCAACCATCAATGCTTGCACCTGAACAATGCTAGAACAAGGCAACCACAAATGATACTCCCAACCCAATAAGAAGAAGACAAGTTGAGGTGACCAACTATTTGAAATGTTTATATAAGACACCAAATGGATTACATTGTTGGTGATGTGGTGAAGAAACTGATGGATAATGGTTATGTTTCAAATGAAGCACATGAGATAAATTAATCTCCCACCCGACAAATACAATGAACAAACATTTTGACTTGGTCCTAGTTGACCTACATCAACAATCCCACTAAAGACATATCATTTCAGCTCAAATAGTGGTCTACGTAATCAAATGAACTCGATTTAACAGATTGCTGAACACAGAGCAAGAGATAAACCACTTTTTTTACAAAAACAAATAGAGCACCCGTTTGAATGCTTTAAATATGACGTCAAACGGGTTACACTCTTGGCAGTGTGGTGTGGAAATAATAAATAACCGAGGCATTTCAGGACTGTAGTTTGGCAATTAGATCCCTAGCCTTCACCTTTACCTTTGAGCTATTTAACCCTTAACCAATATATTATATGAAGAAGACACCAAGTGCTAATTGGAACCCATAAATCATCCAAAACCAAATGAAGCAGATGAGAACAGTCAAATATGCTAGATGCCTAGATCATCACCCCAAAATTAGACATGTTTAAAACTTGCATGGAGAAAATCAAAGTTGAGAGCAAGGGGCTTGCGATAATGGATATGTTCCAAACAGGTAGAGTTCTACATTTTTAATGTCACAATCTTCTTAGGAGTTGCATAACATCATGAGCCAACCATTGAAGCGATGGAACTTTGTGAAGAAATTGAGGAAGGTGAAAAATATTTATTTTTTAAGAATGAATTTCTTTTCTCTATCTTTTATTCTTAGATTCCTTAATTCATTAATTTGGTCACACGTTTTGTTTTGTTAACCCTTTTTTTAGAAATTGCATTTGAAGGGAGTGTTGAAGAAAGAAGATTGCCTCCTAGAGTTCCTAGACAATGACAACACTCCACACAAAATGCAATTTCAGACTAAAGTTTTCCATTTTGATAGTGTATGGTTGTCATCTTGCGGGTTCAATATTTTGGCTTTCGCAAGAAATCATGAAACTGTCACATGACACCTTATTCGGCATTTTATTCTTTTGAAACTTGTAACATTGTTTCACGTGTTGGCTACTGCCTATTTGTTACTATCTTATTTGGCTTTATGCACTTTGTTTGTAGGAACTTGTAAGACGTGTTTCATTAATTGGCTATGATTTATTGCTTTTGGTTTAAATCGGTTTTCTATTAGACTTGGCCATAAATATGGAATGCTTCGTGACTTGTAAATGATGTAAAAGTTTGGATTTTGTAGAGCTGAACTTTGGAAATTGGAAATTCTCTTTAGTCATTCCCCTTCCCTGTGGAGTATCCTGTGGTTGACCGACTTGTATTGTATTATTTCTTTTTAGTCAGATGTTGTGCTTTTGTACCATAGATTTATCATTATTAACTTAATTTAGAATGACAAATATTAACTTCATATTCGAGGCTTGTAGTGTCGTTTCATACTTTAAAAATCTAAACCTATGGTTTGTATAATTATCTTGCAAAGCCTAACCAAACCACAATTTTTTCTTCCGTCCCGTCTTTGGTTGTGGGAAGAAACCGAACCCACTCCTAGATAATTGGGACTTGTGAGTTTTGTAAGTTTTTTGCGTATGGCATCCTAAGCACAACACGTTCAAAAGACTAAAGCTCATAGATCACTCCTGACTAAACAATTTTAATGATACACCTAGCTTATGAGTGTGTGGGCACGAGAGAGAGAGAGAGAGAGAGATTATTTACCCAAACTTCTTATAATGACTCCACCACTTCAAAATAATATTTGTCGGCAAGAAGGTAGTGTAAGGGTGTCCCCTTGTGTGAAATTTGATTCCAATCACTTGTCCCATACGATTTATAAGTGGCCCACCATCCTCTAGCTACGAATTTAGGTAAAATCAC